GCCAGTATGGAGTGTTAGTGGTATGAAGGAGACATTTAAGTCTCCGTTCTGAACGGTTAGAGAGCTGGCTAGGGTGAGTGAGCTTGGTCAATTTCCAGAAAATCTGGGCCATTGGGAAAGGAGTCCTTTGTGATACTGTGAGCTCACTGCTCCTGCCCCTCTATCTGCTCAGCAAGGACAGAATGTGCAAAACAGACCTCAGAATCCACACCGAGCTCCAAAACAGGCCCTGCAGACTGCCCTGTCTACGATGACTGACTTCAGGTCTTGCAGGCGTACCTCTTGTCACAGTGACGATCACTGGGTGGAAGCAGGAAAAAGAGGAGAAAGGGCAGAGCAGCTAGGGGTGGAAGAGCCCAGCTGTGGAGTGCAGCTTTGTCTCTCTTTGCCTTCCCCCTGGCACCTCTGCCTATGGCGACCACCCAGATTGTGTTTCTGAAGGCCATTGTTTTCTGCCGATCGACTGCGGCCAGGGAACTGATGACTCAGTGAGTCAGCAGAGTAGAGAGGATGGACTATATCATAAGCTTTAATACTCGGCAAATAGAGGCTATAATCTCAGCTCCACCACTTGCTCACAACATGCAAAATGTATTTCTGACAGGAGACTATTAACATCCATCCCATAAGGCCTCCAGAGGACTAAACACTATGGCCCTTACAAGATTTCTAGAACGGTGCCTTGTATAGAGTAGTCAGGCGTCCCCAAACTTTTTACACAGGGGGCCAGTTCACTGTCCCTCAGACGGTTGGAGGGCCACCACATACTGTGCTCCTCGCACTGACCGCCAGTGAAAGAGGTGCCCCTTCCTGAAGTGCTGCGGGGGGCCGGATAAATGGCATGCGGCCCGCGGGCCGTAGTTTGGGGACGCCTGGAGTAGATGGTAGATAAAGGCAGCTCCGTGTTCATTATTCCTCCTGTTGATGACATGTGTGATTTCATCTGACGCTCTGGAAGTTGAAAGCTGCTTCAGGATTTGGGTATTTCTGTCATAGTGTAATTTAAACCTCTGTCAGATTTACTCGTTAGTGCATCCGAGAAGGTTTATTGACACGCACTCTCAGCCAGGAGGGTGGAGGAATTTATTGCTCCCCACGTGCTTAACATTTCCCTGCTGCTTAAATACAGGCAGGGCTCTGTGACTAGTTCTTCTGCCAATGGACTGAGAGTGGGAATTGTAGGCTGCTGAGTTTGACTGGGCGGACTCTGTCTGAGCGACAGGTGACAAAAGTACGTAGACATAGATGTTTTGCTTGTGTGCGTGGCTAGGGGACTTTGTGGCTTACAGATCTTGAAGTGGGAGTCTGGTTGAGAAGCTCAGGACCTGGTGCCCTTGAGTGAGGAATGCTGCACTGGATCACAGATCGTGAAGGAACCCTCGAAAACGAAGGTGAAGAGACTGTGCGGTCAATAAGTCAGGACGTCATTAGTGCCTGCTCAGGATTTCCACGTTTCAGGGAATCACCCCCCTTGTCCAGGCTAAGCCTTCATCACAGGACAGCAGTTATCAGCACAACAAAACAGTATATAAAAGTATTGAGGCCAGGCACAGTGGTTCAAGCCTGTAATCCCAGCACTTTGGGAGGCTGAGGTGGGTGGATCACGAGGTCAAGAGATCGAGACCATCCTGGTCAACATGATGAAACCCCGTATCTACTAAAAATACAGAAAATGAGCTGGGCATGGTGGCGTGTGCCTGTAATCCCAGCTACTCAGGAGGCTGAGGCAGGAGAATTGCCTGAACCCAGGAGGCAGAGGTTGCGGTGAGCCAAGATCATGCCATTGCACTCCAGCCTCGGTAACAAGAGCGAAACTCTGTCTCAAAAAAAAAAAGTATTGAAACAGCTGCTTAAAGCTACCTGAGCCTGTTTCGCAGGCTCAATGAAAGGACCTAATGCAGACTGTTGTTTTCCATAACCCATGATTCTCAGCAGAAGGCACGCTAGAGGTAGACCAAGTGAGAAGAAATCTTAAATAGCATTATGCACAAGGGCAACGGGTCCCAGTAACACCTGTAATGTTATAGGCCTTAGTCAAGGCTGCTCTGGCCCCACTGTACACAGCAGATCCTAAAAAGGGAAGGGAATCCAGGCGCAGTGGCTCACACCTATAATCCCAGCAGTTTGGGAGGCTGAGGCGGGCAGATCACGAGGTCAAGAGATCGAGACCATCCTGGTCAACATGGTGAAAACCTGTCTTCTACTAAAAACACAAAAAATTAGCTGGGCATGGTGGGGCTTGCCTGTAATCCCAGCTACTCAGGAGGCTGAGGCAGGAGAATTGCCTGAACCCAGGAGGCGGAGGTTGTGGTGAGCCGAGATCGCGCCATTGCACTCCAGCCTGGGCAACAAGAGCAAAACTCCATCTCAAAAAAAAAAAAAGACAAATTCATCAAGCCCAGGGTGCTGATCTCTTACTGTTGCAATTAGCTTCTGAAAACACTAAGGTGAATTGTCAGCAAGCCATGCAGGCAATCAGAGGAAAGACAGATACTGCCAAGGAACTAATATGAGCCTGCCAACTGGTAGGATCTAAGACACGCAAAGCCAAAATATCGGCTATGGCACTGAGGCCTCCTAAAATGAAAAAGGAGAAAAACCCGAATTGTTTACTATGCAGAGAGCCAAGTTACATGAAGAAGGAATGCCCCAATAGTAAAGACCAAAGTAACTCAGAGAAAGAACCCCCTTCTATATGCCCCCAATGTGAGAAGCGGGAACATTAAGCAAATCAATGCGAGTCCAGATTTGATAAAAAACAAGTGATCAGAAAGGAAACTTCGAGAGGCCAGTCCTGAGCCCCACTCTCAACTAAGGCAATGCCAGCAGCTTTCCTTAGACAGATGGAAAGCCAGCCCACTGTCCCCTCTCTCAGAGCAGTCACCACTAGGAGCGCAAGACTGGATTACTCTGTCCCAGTGAATTAGGGCTAAAAGAAGAAGACCACAAAATGGTTGTAACCAAGATCACAAGCCCACTGCCTCCAAGAACAGTAAGATTAGTCCTAATGTGATCACCAAACTAATTGATACCTTTGACTTAGGGGTAAGAGATTAGTAATGATAGAATGTAAAAGTCTGCCGATTCTTATCTCTAAGTCAAAGATAGCTCAGTTACAGCTTTTACCATACTAAATCCTCAATGCCCAAATTTTTTAAAAAAAGGAAAACGAAGTTTTAGACACACAGGAGCCACAAGAGTCTATTAGAACCAATTAATCACTGATTAGAGATCCATGATTACCTTGAAAATTAGAAATAAGAATTTTACTCACTTATTAGACACAAAGGCAGATATTTTTATCATTAGCAGTCAAAACTAGCTAGAAACTTGGCCTTAAGTCACTCAGAAACAAAAAAAAATGGTCATCATCAAAGAAACACACACAGCCAAGCAGAGCTTGCGCCCACGAACATGCTGCGATTTAAAGAAAAGCAAAGCAGTTACACAACCTCTGATTATGTCCATCCCTGTCCATCATTAAAGACAAGACCTATTAGCCCAATAAACAGTCACTCTGCAGACCCGTTTCTAATAATAGCCACTGTCGTTATTCTAGGCCAAGGACAGCGGAGCTGGTATGTGACCTTCGGCTTTATTTCCTTCTCTGCAATGATCCTCCGTCCTCTGGAAGGCAGAGCTGTAAGAGAAAGACCACCTGGATCCCCAAACTGCCATTTGGAAAGAAGCGGCCCTGGAGATGAGCTGATATTGTATGAGGAAGGAATAAATATTTATGTGTTATTTTGCTAGGTTTTCAAGGTTTTTTCTTTACTATAACATAGCCTAATCTAACATAAGATATCAAGGCATTATGCTGAACACTAGAGATTATGGGGAAAAAAACCCAAAACCTTTATCACATCAGACTCTGCTCTCAAGAAGCTTACAGTAGAAGAAGACAGACTTTCATAGCCGATTATTTGACAGGTGATACCATTTAGAGCAGGCGTCCCCAAACTTTTTGCACAGGGGGCCAGTTCACTGTCCCTCAGACCGTTGGAGGGCCGCCACATACTGTGCTCCTCTCACTGACCACCAATGAAAGAGGTGCCCCTTCCTGAAGTGCGGCAGGGGGCCGGATAAATGGCCTCAGGGTGCCGCATGCGGCCCGCGGGCCATAGTTTGGGGACGCCTGATTTAGAGTATAACAGGAGGCCCTTTGTGGGGAGAGTTACCTGGGAATTTGGCAATATTCCCATTACTTCTCAAATTATATCCCACAAATGATGTTGCACTCAATCTATTCTAGACAAACTCCAATTCTCATCTCTCTTTAAATTAGGCTGTTACTATCTCTCTCATAGGAATCTTGTGAAAATCAAAGGACCTTGTGAAATGCACGATATAGTAGTAGTTAAGAATAAAAGCTTTGGGCATTTTGCTTCCTGCTAAGAGACGTTCTATTCTGTCCCATCGATGTATTGTCTGTCTTTATTTCAGTACCTCCCTGTCTTCACCAGTGTTCTTCAGCAATTCTCCCCAGGTTGATCTGTAGATCCAACGTAATCCAATCACGATCCCAGAGGCTCTTCATTAGAGGGACTTTGTACCAAATAAGCTTATTGCCCAAAGGAACTACACTGTTTGGGACATATTAACTTGTTTACTTTTCTAGGTGCGGTAGCCATGTCACTGTTTCCCTTCCCCTGTGGCCAGGAAGCAGTGGTCAAAATACTAAATATATCTCTGAAAGCAATGGCTGTACCTTTTAGGATTTCAGAAGGCTGTCAAGTAAAAACATTTTAACCCATTTTTCCTCCTGCAGACACCCACACATATTCCACCATACAATTCTAAGATTTAAGTTCCTAGGCTTACGCTGGTATGATTTCGAAACAAAGGCTTCCTTTCCCCACGCCCCCCGAGTTCCCGTCTTCGCCAAGGTCCTTGCCTTGCATGCTCACAGTTGGCTTCCATGCTATTTCCCATTCCCACCCGACCTGCCACTTCATCTCCTTTCTCAGTTCCAGGCACACAGGACGCGCTCAGTGACAAACCTGATTGTGACATCTTCCAGTCCTCAGGGAAAGAGGTGTTTAGAGGCAACCACTCAAAGCCTGGCTCACTGCTGGAGGGGTTAGGAAACGCGCCACGTCACTACCCACAGTTCATGCTAAAGAAGAGGCTGAAGGCTCCAAGTTAATCATTTAATGAAAACATCCTGCTCGGCAGTTAATAAGCTGACTTTGAAAGAATTTTGCTGGCTTTGCAAATTTACTTCAAAATTAAGTCAACTTTCATTACAAAATTCAACTTCAAAGCGAACAAACGGTTTCTTTTCTCTCAAACTTTATGTCGTCCTCTGCTCACCACGGATTGTTAGAGGTAGGGAGTGGGTGATTTCAGGTAGGAAATTACCAAAGTCCCCGTGTTGGAGAAGGAGGGGCTTGTTTGTGGAGATAGATGGGTTTGGGGTGGGAGAAGAGGAAGCACAGCCTGGGAGCCTGTGGGCGGGACAGCAGTGGGGACACAGGCCGGGACAGTCTGAGCTTTGGGAATTTGAAGGATGCACAGTGTAGAACCCTCCCTGCCCACAAAACTGTCCTGAGGAAATTAATTGTGTCTAGATTAATATGGGAAGCAGGGAGAACCAGTGAAATGTTTGAGTGGAAAATTATTCAGGAATGTAGAAGAAATGTCAGGAAAAGCTGACTTCAAAGTGCATGGAAAAACAGAATGAATTTCTCCGGAACAGTTCTATGGGGTCCCAGTACGGTCTCTAATTTCTCCGGGTCCCTTCATCTCCGCTCCTTAGTTGCGGGTCTCTTGCAACGCTCCTCAGTATTGCCACAGCTCACACGTGCAATGTGCTTACGCCAGACACACACTACAAGCATCACTTCATTTCATCTTCACAGAAAGTCAGATCTTTTCAAGATTGTCTCTTTCAGAAGAGACAATGAGATCAATGAATGTGCCCAAAGCCTTTCAGCAGTCATGAGCAGAATTGGGATTTGAACCTAGCCTGTAGCCAACACACAGAGGCAGGCAGAAATCCTGAGCTGTACCGATGACCACAGCCGTGGGGTTTGCCTGTCCTTTAAAATCTGTACTTAAAATAATGAGTTTCCCGCTGACTTGTCATACCATCCCCACTCAAGGCTCATTGGCTATTTATTTGGAGGGTGATGGCTACCTGCTATCTAGCCACTAGAGGACAGCATTACCTTAAAAATGCTTTCAAAGGCAGCCATCATCTGGGTTCTGGAAATTTCTTTTCCACAGCAATTTTGACACCCTCCATAATCAGCCTCCAGGCCATGTCCTCAGTCAGCTCTCACAGTCTCCTGATCCAGACCGTTCCTTGCTGTCTTCCAGACTTGGAATCTGTCTCTCCCTTCCAGAAGGAAGCGTGGTGATGAGTAAACCCTGGAACATGGTGCTCCAACTCCAAACTGCAGCTACTCACTCACCTCCACATGTTACTTAAAGTCTCTGTGCCTCAATGTCCTCATAACTCCTCTCACACTGTAATGACAAGTAAGCAAGTTAATACTTAGAAGGTGGTGGCAGTAGGTAGAACAGTAGAGGTTCTCATAGGAGATTCTCAAGTTTGAAACAATTACCATCTTGGAGACATTTTAAATCTGATCGTTGCGCCAGGCGTGGTGGCTCACGCCTGTAATCCCAGCACTTTGGGAGGCCGAGGCGGGTGGATCACGAGGTCAAGAGATCAAGACCATCCTGGTCAACATGGTGAAACCCCATCTCTACTAAAAATACAAAACATTAGCTGGGCATGGTGGGGCGTGCCTGTAATCCCAGCTACTCAGGAGGCTGAGGCAGGAGAATTGCCTGAACCCAGGAGGCAGAGGTTGCAGTGAGCCAAGATTGCGCCATTGCACTCCAGCCTGGGTAACAAGAGCGAAAACTACATCTCAAAAAAAATAAATAAATAAGTAAAATCTGATTGTTGCACTGAGTTAAAGAATATCTTCTCTTCAAGGTAACACACTCTAATATCAGCTTCTAATGTTTGCACCAAAGCGCATTAATCTCAAATGGGGGATACAGGGCCACAGGTAGAGCTACTTGAGGCGACATTTTTGCAGCACCTCTTGAATTCCAGGGAATGGGTCCATGGATAAGACAGGCCAGCTTTGGACCCACCATCAGGCTTGGAGAATGTTTCAAGATGAAGTTTTGAAAATAATCGATTTTACTCAGGTGGTCATGGGTACCCACTGAGCAATATGCCTGTTTATTTTGGATGAAGAGAAATGTCAGGTCGTTCTTGAGCTGTTGTGACCCAGTCTCTTAGAGAGCAAATACAGTTTCACAGTAGAATAGACTGCCAAAATTCTTCACGATGGAGGGGATTAAAATCATGCTAGGGCCTTCTGATCACTGTGGCCCTGGCCTAACCCAGCCATCTGTTTTGCTTGAGGTGATTCTGGAAGTCAGGATGAGCCCTGAACTTTGCAGTCTGTGCTCAGATTCATCAGGGTTAAAGATGAACACTTTGGTGCTGTGGTCAGGTTAATATTGGTTGGGGCAAAAGTAACTGTGGTTTTGTTATTAAAAGTGATTAATGCAACCTTGGGTTGTTGCAAACTGAAGCCAAACCAGTCAGAGATGGCTAAGTCAAACTAAAGACCGTTCGCATATTCCTGCAGCCACCAAGCCCCTTATAGGTTACGAGCCCTTTGTAATGGCTACATAGTGGATGGGGGCAGCTGTGCAGAGTGAGATACAGGAAGATCTGGAAAGAAAGGCTGAAGGTGGGCCTGCTGGAGACCTTGGTCCAAGGCCAATGACTTCTTTCATGGGATTGCATTGTTTGTGCTGGCTTTATAGGGTCTAAAATAGGAAGGAAGTACATCCCTCTAGCTCCTGAGCTTGCTACATAGATCAGATTTGAATGGAAGAAGATGGGGTTTCTGGATGTGGAGATGAGTTAGATAGCAAGAGCTGGGATTACAGACCTTTCCCAAGATCACAGAGAAAGTCAGTTGCTGGGTAAAACCATCAGGATTTCTGGATCTGCTGGGTATCTGGGGTCAAGGACACGACACTATGTGTGACATGCTGTGGGATCCAGTCTCAATAGCCTGTTGATGTGAGAGTCCCTGACATCTTGGAGACAGTCTGTATTCTTCAAGGGGTTTATGTTGATCCAGGATCAAACACAACTTCTATGTCAGAGAGCTAAAGCAGGAGAGAAAGCTGCTTCTACTGAGAAAGCAGAAATGTCCTCCCTGAAGTCACCTAATATTGTGACATCCTCTGTGCTCAGACACTCAGCTCTGTGTGCTGAGCAATGATAAGGTGTGTAAAGGGCCTAGCATGGCACTTAGTACCAGTAAATGCTCCATGAATGCTTGCATCATCTTCAATAATAAGAACTAATAACACTTCTAGAGCATTTACTATGTGGCAGGCAGTGTTGTAAGGGTTTGGTAGTTTTTCACTCATTCAGTAGGGATAATTATTATCTCTGTTTGCAGATATGGAAGCAGAGGCCAGACATTCTGGGATTCAAAGCCAGGCATTCTGGCCCCATCATCCACACTTAACTATGGTGCTTTTAATTAATGCTATAAAGAGCTACCGACAGGAGACCAGAACAGGGTCAGATGGCTTCCAGCCAGGGTGGCCAAGAAATACTTCCAGAAGAGACAGCTGTTTCAGCTGGCCCTTTCACATCAGTTGAACTCTATTTTCTTCTACCAGCCCTAGTCTTGGGTCTGAAACTGAGACCACAGGTCCTGCTGTTATGTGAACTGAGGTATGGCTATTTAGGCAAGGCCGCAGGCCTGCTGAACCAAGAGCTTACAGGGAATGGGAAGCCAGGGGTTAAGCTGGTGAGAAATTCTTCAAGACTATCCAAGTCTTCAGGAAAGTTCTAATAGCCCACTGGAAGACTTTTGCTCTGCCTACATCAAAACCCATTTTTCAAAAGCCTCTGCTTTGTCCTTACTGTTCCTTCATTCTGGAACATACTAATCACTCCTCATCCTCAGGACTCAGGTGATGTGTTTCTTCATCTATGAAACCTTCCTCAGGGCCTGTGATTTTTAGCTACCCTGTTTTTAGCCAGTTGGGTTTTGTGAATTTGCTTTTAGCATTTCCATTTCTTTTTTCTTTTTCTTTTTCTTTTTTTTTTTTTTTTTTTTTTTTTTGAGGTGGAGTTTCGCTCTTGTTACCCAGGCTGGAGTGAAATGGCTCAATCTTGGCTCACTGCAACCTCCGCCTCCTGGGTTCAGGCAATTCTCCTGCCCCAGCCTCCTGAGTAGCTGGGATTACAAGCACGGTGCCACCATGCCCAGCTAATTTTTTGTATTTTTGGTAGAGACGGGGTTTTACCGTGTTGACCAGGATGGTCTCGATCTCTTGACCTCGTGATCCACCCGCCTCAGCCTCCCAAAGTGCTGGGATTACAGGCGTGAGCCACCGTGCCCGGCCAGCTTTTCCATTTCTAACATTACAATCTTCCTACCCCATTAAAATCTCACTGCTCATCAACGACCCATCTTGACAGGAAACTTCACGGAGGTTGGGGAACCAAAGCCTCAGCTAATAGCAGCGTATTTGTTTGGCTGAGGTCTGCATTCCTGTGATTCCTCAGAAACTTGGACTTTATAGAGAAAGTGGCAGCCACTTTCAGCAGCCAACATAATTCTCTGTGCTACTCACTACCTACGTGACCCTTGTAAGCCACCTAGCTCCTCTGAGCCTCGGTTTCTTCATTTGTAATAGGAGAATAGTACTGTGTTTCTTTGAAGGGTTCTTATGATGATTCAATAGGATAATGTGTGTGGATCTCCTAATCCAGTGCTTGGCATACAGATGCATTTCCGGGTTGGCTTTCTGCTCCTTCCTACTGAGATTTCACACCCCATTGGCTCTTCGGCTGGGTGAGGCCTCAGGCTCTCACCCATTCCTATATGTTTTCTTCCCCAACAAAGCCTTTCTGACCCAGATCCCATCTTCTCAATACTCTTTTTCTAGAAGTGATGAAATAACTCAATCTAAGGTGAGGTGAAATTCAATAGACACTGCTATCATGTGTTATTTTATTAGATACTATAAGTTCCACACACCAAATTTATCCCCAATCCCCTTCCTTCTCCAACTTCTTCCTTGGTAGTAGAACCCCGATTTTTTTCAGGCATTCACCT